TTTCCATCACACCATACATAAAGGGACCTCGTTTGTTGTTTCTTGCAGACTTAACGGTGGCCCTGGGGGGCTTTTGAGGCAAGAGGTGTTCAGAGGCGCAAGGATCAGCTGCTGTTCTGAGCTGGGGTGGTGGTGGGGGGAGGAAGGCGCGCAGGGGGTCCTCAGCCCTGCTGCAACTCGCGAGGAGTTGCCCGCCCCTGGCAGGGCCGCTGGGTTGTAAGCGTCGGGGAAGGACCCGTGTTTGTGTTGTGGGGGTGGGGGGTTGGCCTGCGCCCCGGGCACCCTGTTGGAGAGGCCGGGTGGCCCTTGGTGGGTGGGTTGGAGGAGAAGGGGACCCAGTCGGCGGGCGCTGTTGCGCTGGTCATGCACCCCCCTTCACTTTCGGGAAGCTTTGTTTCCTTCCCCGTCTCCAGGCTCCACCGGGAGGTTGGCATCTGCACCTCGCCCAGGGCGCAGAAACACCTCCGGCCGGCCCTGCCTTTAGGCATCCACGTTGTTTGGTTTGATTGGTTGACTTAGTCCGTAAGTGTTGACAGGCCCTAGTTTTGGGCATCCTTAGTTACAGCCACCTGTAGACATTTGGGTCTGGAGGGAACTGCCGGGCCCTGATTTTACTCAAGCTGGAAATGCGAATTAGCTAAGTGGATCCCGATTGGCTTAGGGACTCCCAGGCTGCTGCAAGGATGCCTGAAATTATTGCCATTGCTCGTGCTTAAAGAGTGGATCCGGCCTAGCGTGTACTTCTCATAATAAATAAACCCAAAATCATTTTTACTCTCTTGTGTAAAGAGTTACTTGCTGAGTGTTTGTGCACATATTTCCCGTTGCCTGCCTCCGCCCTACATCCCGGGTATTCCTTGGTGGTCTCCCATCCGTATCCTAACCAGGGCTGAGGCTGTTTAGCTTCCAAGTCATGATGAGATCAGGCTAGCCTGGATAATCCAGGTCAGGGCAGAAGGAACTCAGGCAGGTATAATATCATAGACTTGCCCCTCCAAAGAAACTCTTTCACCCAGGGGAACTGATCTCTGCCCTCTACAGATCACTTATAAGTCTGAGAGATCTTTAGGCCCCCGCCTGGAGTTTGGCAACCCTAACTGGGATGTGTTTGGGGCTCATTAGGGGCTTAGATTTGGGGTGGGGGAATGGATGAGAAAGTTTCTATAGGGAGACAGTTTCAGAGGGTAGCTGTTAGTGTTCCTCTAAGCTGAGTTAGTGTGAGCTAGCTCACAGGTTCTTAGCCTCCGGCTCACACTTTTTTGTCTTAGCTCAGGAAGGATGGCTCCAGAGCAAACTAATTTATGCTGTAGCCAAATAGATCACTCACAACTTTAATGCCAGCAGCTCACAAAGTAGAATTTTTGCTCACAAGACTCCACAGTTTAGAGTGAACGTTGGTAGCCATGTTGGTCAGCACTGGAACAGCTCCCTAGAGCCAGTATGGTGTAGTAGTGGTTAAGAGTGTGGACTCTAATCTGGGAGAACTGGGTTTGATTCCCCACTCTGGCACATGCAGCTTCTGGTGTGACCTTGGGTCAGTCGCAAGTTCTTTCAGAGCTGTTCTCTCAAGGGCAGTTTCTTTCAAGAGCTCTCTCAGCTTTACCTACCTCACAGGGTGCCTGTGGGGAGGGAAAGATGATTGTAAGCCGCTCTGAGACTCCTTCGGGTAGTGAAGGGCGGGGTACAAATCCAATCTCTTTTTCTTCTAGGCACCTTTGACTCTCAAAAGCTGACACCCTGAAGCTCTTGTTGGTCTCTAAGATGCTACTGGACTTGATTCTAACTCAAACTTTGTTTCTACAGGGAGGCTTCCATCCTTGAGCCCCACAGCTCTCAGGGATCCACTTCCTGTGGCTCTAGAAACAAACGTGGCTCAGTGCAGAAACCCAGTGTGGCTCTTCTTGAAAAAAGAAAATGAACTCTGTAAGTTAAGATCTATTAGAAGGATAGGTGGATTTATAGAATGACCAGTCTGTGAAGATTTTTATGGGACTTGAAGGGCTTCTTAGAGATGGTTTTCAGAAAGGGGGAGGATGTGCAGATTTATGCTGGTGGACAAAAGCAGTTCTGCAGGGTGTTTCTCTGGGTACTGATCACAGTACTTACTGTGAGACCCGGTGTGTGCCGTTTCCTCAGAACGGATTCCCAACAACCCATGTTCAGGCTGTGGAAATTGCAGGGGCTGTGGCTCAGAGTCAATCCCTAGCATCTAGGGATGCCATCCTCCAGGTGGGACTTGGGGACCTCCTGGAATTACAGCTCATCTCCAGACTACAGTGGGTAAAACAGATGCTTTGGAGGGTTGACTCTATGGCATCGTACCCCACTGAAGTCCATGTCCACCCCAGGCTCCACCCCAAAATCTCCGGGAGTTGCCCAACCTGGATCTGGCAACCCTCCCCCTCCCCCCATTGATGAAGAATTCTGGGTAAATTGAAAGGTTGTCATTCTTGGAAATTCCTCTGTGATGGTACGTGGCTACCTACAGTTTTAGCTGATAGACGCTGGTGTGATGGGGGCAGGGAACTGTAGATTTTGATGTGTAAAAGGAACCAACCACGAACTCTTGTTTTTCTCTTCAGGCTCAACTCTGCAGCTGCCTAAAAATTCTGAAGAATGAGAGAGAAAAAATTCTGGAGTATAAAGCCAATGCAGAAGCTGAAAGCCAAGACCTTCTTGTAAGTCAGATTTCACATGGATCACTTAAGCCTGATCAGGGGCCAGGAGACCAAGCTCTATGAGGAAAGTCTGAGGGGCTTGGGAATGTTCAGTCTGGAGAAAAGGTGGTTGAGGGGGGACATGATCGCTCTCTTCAAGTATTTGAAGGGCTGTCACTTAGAGGAGGGCAGGGAGCTGTTCCTGTTGGCAGCAGAGGAGAGTGCATACCTCAGAGGACTCGCAATAAGGGGTTTCAATGAAGGGTGGGAAGGGACCCGCTGGATCTTAAAAAGGTAAAGGTAAAGGTTCCCTTGCTCGAAAGCCAGTTGAGTCCAACTGTAGGGTTGCGGTGCTCATCTCTGTTTCAAAGCCGAAGAGCCAGCGCTGTCCGTCAGGGATGCTCTAGGCTGGTCCTGCATTGAGCGGAGGTGGGACTAGGTGGCCTCTCTGGCCCCTTCCAGCTCTATGATTCTATGATTCAGAGAGTCTTCGGATCACACACATTTTAGGAGTGCCATGCTTCACAGGTGCACATGGGCCTGACTGAAATCAGGACTGTGGCCTATGTGTGGAGAAGGGGCTTTTGCTTCCCCCACCCAAGGTCAATTTCCCATCCTGAAAGGTACTTTTTCCAAAAGAGCAAACGGTGGCTGCACAGCTCTGTTTCTGGATGGCAAGATGGTGTGTTGGGGGTGGGGGAGGCTAGTTGGAGGGAGCATGTAGGTCTTTAAATTATACCTTGCATATGGTGGTCATGCACTTTCAATGAAGTGGGGGTGGGTGGGTTGGAGACCCCAAGGCGATCGTTATGAGAAGCCGAGAATGCACACACGTCACTGGTACTGGACAGCGGAGTGACATTTTGACAAAATGGCTGTATAATGCTGAAGGGTCAAAAGCCACAAGGAAACGCCACACGTCGGAACTTACGTTTATTTACTGAGACATTTTTTGGCTGCGATCACACACACTAAATAATCCACTTTCCAACTGGATTTTGCCTGTCCACACAGTAAAATACAGTTGGAAAGTGGATTGAAAGTGGATTATTGAGTGTGTGTGATCACAGCCATACTCTGCTTTTCTCCCCAATGGTGATGTGGAAGAGCCTACAGTGTCGTTCTCCATTTTATCCTCGCAACAACCCTGTGAGGTAGCATAGTTCTGAAAGTATGGGACTGGCCCAAGTTCACCAAGCAAACTTCCCTTCCAGAGTGGAGGGTTGATTGTGGGTCTCCCAGATCCTAGTTTGGCTATTCTGTATGCCATGCTGAAGCTTATTGATTATTTGAATGGCCTCATCTGCCAGGGAAAAAAATAATATTCCTGAAAAGCTGTTCTAAGAATGAACCCTTGTAGGTTCTCAGGAAGGTTTCTGCCTCAGAATTCAAGACAAGGATTGGAATAGGATTTGGAAATCACCTAGCAATACCTCAAAAATATTTAATATTCGCTTTAATACCTTTAAAATGCTAACAAGATGGTTTCTACCCCCAGTCAGACTGCATAGAATAAACCCTCCTGTCTCTAAAAAATGTTGGGAAAATTGTGATCAAGTTGGAGATTATATTCATTGTTGGTGGTACTGCCCAATAATCAAGAAATTTTGGACACAAGTTTTAACACAAATCTTTATAATAACCGGAATCAGTTTACCAGTCAATCCAGAAACAGTTGTATTGGATAATTGGACTTGACCCTACAGGAAACAAATCTAAAACAATCTTAGTCTCCAATCTCATTGCGATCGCAAGAATTTCAATAGTGCAAAAATGGAAAGGTAAGAGAAGCCCAACAATTTCAATGTGGCAAAACAAATTATGGGAACATTTTGTCTATGGCTGTATTATAGCAAACACAATGGGAACGAAAACTGACTCAACAAAAAACATTCCAAATGGTATGGTTCCCTGCAGTCAAGTGGTATAGTGCCCAACAACTCATATTATCAAAACTTGTTGTATTTTTAAATATTTAGAGGCTTTATCTTGACTGTATAGATTAAAATAGTTTCCTTCTGTAATAACTTAGTTTGACATTCTGTTGTTACACAAAAGTTATATTGATTGTATTTTTACATATCGTGTTATTTGGTTATTGAATGTTATAACTGAATAAACGTTTGAATTTTTAAAAAGAAGATTTCTGCCTGATGTAATCTTTGTGTATGTGAAAAGTGCCTTCCTGTTGGAATTCCTATCATCTCCCCTTTGGAATCGCATACAATCTCTTATGTGTTGACACACTTTTCTCTCCTTTCCGATTATTGTAGAAACAAACTGAATCAGAGAAGGCAAAGACAGTGGCTGAGTTCAGAAAACTGCATGAGTTTCTGGAAGAACGAGAGAAGCTTCTGGTGGCCCAGATGGAAGAGGTGAAGGAGGACATTATGAGAAAAAGGGACGAGCACCTGGCCATACTCTCCGGAGAAATCTCCTCTCTTGACAGTCTCATCCGGGAGATGGAGGAGAAGCATCAGAAGCCAGCTGAGGGTGAACTCCTGCAGGTAAGACTGCAGTGGGGCCATGGCTCAGCAGCAGAGCACCTGCTTGGCATGCAGAAGGTCCCAGGTTTGATCCCTGCCATCTTGAGTTAAACGCATTAGGTTGTAGGCGATGTGAAAAACCTCACCCTGGTGACCCAAATGCCAGTCAGAGTAGACTGGGGTCCCCAATTGTTTTTGGGCCTTCAGGTACCTTTGGAATTCTGACACAGTGTGGTGGGCGCAGCTACAAAATGGCTGACACAAGAGGCAGAGCCAAAGCTCTACTGCCAAAGCAAACTTTTAAAAACTGTTAAAAAATCGGAACAGCCAATCAGACTTCCTGGGCTCACTTGGCCTCACCCAGTTTCTAAGAACACTTGGAGGGTGTGAGGAAAGGTGTTGACGGGCGCCATATTGGGGACCCCTAGAGTAGACAATACTGACCTTGATAGAACAATGGTCTGATTCGGTATAAGGCAGCTTTTGGTTATCAAAAGGCCCAATTTGCCCTCTAGGGGAAACACTGATTGGTAACCTTTTGTGTTCCCAAAAAAGGGGCCTTGTTTATGAAACTGTTAGTGGGGTCTGTTGTGTATGGGAACAGCCAACGGAAATAGGACCGTATATTAATTTGTGTATTGGCATGGGCCGTTCTGAAGAAAGGCATCCTGTTTCCTCAGTGGTCATCTTATTTTCTCTGCAAAGGTCTCCCCTAGCGCTTCACAGAGTGCTTCTGAGCAGGTCTGCTCGGAAGTAACTCCCATTTATTCAGCGAGTCTCATTCCCAGGAAAGTGTTCTTAGAACTGCAGCTTCGATTAAACAGCTTTGTTCTCAGGGTCTGCTCGTGCAGTTCTCCGCGTTAGCCGACCTTCCTGATTCTGTGAAGCTGCCCACATTTTCACACATGGCCCTTTAAATAAAGAAACGGAAACCCAGTGATTTGCTCATAACTAACAAGCTTTTATAAACCATTTGCCAAGCACATGTATCTGTGTGTGCGCTATGGTGTCTGTGACAAATGCTGTTCATGCCTGGGCAATGAGGGCTTTGGAGTCCTCCGCTGCTCTCTTTCGGAGTCTGTGGTCTTGTCTCTGTGGTTGTTAAGAAACACAACCTTTCCGATGTATGGGAGCAGTGCTTCTGACCAGGGGTCTAGGACATTGTTCTTCACTCCATTTAGGGTTGCCATCCTCCCAAGTGGGGACTGAGGATCGGCAGGAATATAACTGATCTCCAGACAATAGAAGTCAGTTCACCTGGAGATAGGGTTGCCAAGTCCGTTTTTGCTGGCAGCGGGGGGCTCCCGGACGGCGTCCCGAGCGCACATAGAGTTTTCCCCTCAAATGGCTGTGGCCCCGCCCCCAGCGTGCCCGGCAACATCACGTCACATCCAGCTGACGTGCACGCCGGGGTGGGGTTTTCCCCTGGGGCCCGATTCCATGGCGGCGGAAATCGGGCCTCCAAAGTGGGGGGAAATCCGCACCCCGGGGGGGACTTGGCAGCCCTACCTGGAGAAAATGGCTTCTTTGGAGGGTGGACTCTATGGCCTTATGCCCCACCGAGGTCCCGCCCCTTTCCAAACCCTGCCCTTCTTAGACTCCGCCCCCCCAAATATCCTGTTTCCCAAGTGGGAGCTGGCGATCCTAGACCCATTGGCTGGGACTCTTAGGTGGGCCATAGAGAGAGCCCCGTTTCCTTGGTTATGCGCCCTATACATCTGTTGTTTTTTAGGTTACCACATCCGTTGCCTCTAGCTCCCGCCCACACTTCCTACACAGGCTGGGAACGTGGTAGTGAGCGAGGAGTGGCCATGAGGAAGCAAAGCTGTAGGACAGGATATAAACAGTGGGAAGGCCTTGAACCTCTGAAGCACATTTTTTGGTTTAGTAAAAACCTCCCTGTAAGTGAAAACAGACTTACTCTCAGCCTTTCAAGACAACTGGAAGCTGGATCCACAATGCAAGATGCTCACGGTAGATTTTTAAAAATGATGGGGACCTTTTGTTTTGTTTGCTTTTTTTGCCTATGTGTTCGGCTGCTGATGGCTGGGAAGCGGAACAGGCTGCTGAAATGGCTTGACTTTTCCTGCAGGCCGAAGATCTATTTCTCCTCATTTTGTGAAGACCGTTCCCCACGTTCTGGACTGTGGTGTCGCTAGAGATTATCCTGGCAAGGAGCCCAGGGTGCCTTGCCTTCCAGGGTGTAAGGGGTGGCGGCGGCTCATGGCATAATAACACAGGAATAGCCTTGCTGGATCAGACCGGTGATCCATCTAGCAGTATCTTGTCTCACACAGCGGCCAACCAGTTCCTCTGGAGGTCTAACAGCAGGGCATGGAGGCCGAGACCTTTCCCTGATGTTGCCTGCTGGCTCTGGGATTCAGAGGTTTAGTACCTCCAGGGCTATTTTTGGGCAGGAACGCACAGGAACGGAGTTCCGGCTGGCTCCCGAGTTGGCCACGCCCAGCAGGAACTCATTAGCATAGTAGGCCCCGCCCAACAGCAGAAACGCATTAGGATTGGCTACATTAGGGGTGTGTGGTCTAACATGCAAAGGGGTTCCTGCTACAAAAAAAGCCCTGGGTTTTGACCACAAACAAGGTTAACAGAATAAGAAGCAAAAGGTGGGCATGGCTGGATGAGCACACTTCTGGTAATGTGGGGTGTGTGGCCTAACATGCTAATGAACTGTGCTGTCAGGGGTGTGGCATAATATGCTAATGAGTTTCTGCTGTTGGGTGTGGCCTATTATGCTAATGAGTTCCTGCTGGGCTTTTTCTACAAAAAGAGCCCTGATCTATCTCTGATTCTGAAGGTTCCTCTCAGTCACCATGCCCAGTAGTCACTGATAGACCTGTATCCACTGATGAATGTATCCAATCTCCTTTTAAAGCTGTCTGTTCCTGTGGCTATCACCACGTCCACTGGCAGCAAATTCCACGTTTTAATCACACTCTCTGTGTAAAGAGGTATTTCCTTTAGTGTGTCCTTTAGTCTGCCTATCAGCTTCATCTCTCCACCCCATGCATAATTTTATAGACCTCTGTCGTGTCCCCCCCCTTAGTTGTCTCTTTCCTAAACTGAAAAGTCCCAGACTCTTCAGCCTTTCCTCCTAGGGAAGGTGCTCCAACCCCCTAATCGTCTTGGTTGCCCTCCTCTGTACTTTTCCC